AACATATAGGACTAACATAATGAACTTGCTCCCACTGACCTTCATATAAATACACCGATCAACAGTGTTTTCTATAAATCCATATGAAGTGATTCTATAAAACCATATGAAGTGATATTATTATTGAACTTAAGATACAATTGACGGAAGCTTGCTTCAGACCATATATTGACTTCTTTAACTTACACACCAAATTTCTCTTTCCTTTGACCACAAACCCCTCTAGTTAGTCCATATATACTTCCTCCTCTAAGTCACCATTAAGAAAGGCTGTCTTTACATCCATTTGATGAAGATCTAGATCATAATGAGCCACCAAAGCCAAAAAAATAATTCCTAAAGAGTCCTTTTTGAAAATTGGAGAAAATGTCTCTTTATAGTCAATGCCATCCTTCTGAGTGGAACCCTTAGCAACAATTCGAGCCTTATATCTTTCAATGTTGCCCTTAGAGTTCCGATTAGTTTTAAAGACTCATTTACAATCAACTTATTTTGAACATTTAGGCAACTCAACTAAGTCCAAGACTTAATTATCACTCATTGATTACGTCTATTCTTTCATAGCATTAAACCACTTTTCAGAATTATCACATTCCATGGCTTTCTAGAAAGTAATTCATTGCTTCTTGTGGCTGGATTCTTTAATGTGTGCTTAGTTTGCTTACCTTTAATGCAATCTATACACACGTCTCAGTCAGTAAAATCCAATTGAGGTAAGATTTCACTTTTCACTAATCACTAACAATTCAAATCCTTTCTTTGGATATGTGACCTAGCCTTTGATGCCACAAGAAAGCAGAAAATTCATTATTGTGTACTATGTTATTACCCTATATTGTAATCAACATAAACAGGGATTTCAAACAAAATTCAAACATCAAAGATTAAAATTGATACAAAACTATCAATCAAAGTACCAAAACCATAATAGTACTTATGTTTTGTTAAAAATTGAAAAAACCACCATACAAATCACCATTACAAATCTTAAAATTAAAACCAATATTGTCCAACCTCCCTACAGAAACCAAATTTCTGGCACATTCAGGAACATAGAGACACTTTTCAATATCCAGATAATAATAGGTGTCGAGGATCAATCTATAAGTCCTAATTCCCTTTATACGTGCCTTCATTCCGTTTCCCATATACAGGAACTTTTCAGTTTTGTTTATGGGTTGGATCGAAAGGAATTCCTGTATAATATGAGACACATGAGTAGTTGCACCAGAATCTAACCACCAGGTATTATTAGGCACTTCAATAAGATTTGATTCGAAACATACTGAAACATAAAACATAAGGTATTACTTTCTTTTGAAACCAATCTCCCTTTTAGGACAATCCCTTCTTAAAGGTGACCATTCTTCATACAGAAGTAGCAACTTCAAACTCTTTAAACGGATTTGGTCCTGCATTGACCTTCATTTGGGGCTTTGTCCCTTTTCTTGCCTTTCTTCCCTAATTGTTGTTGCCTTGCTTACTAGCTCATTATGAAATGTGAGAGTTGATAGCTAGTATTCCTTTAATTTCTTTTTAATCTCCCTTCTCTTGTATCAAACATGGCTTTGATTTCCTGAATGTTCCCATTTTCCTTGGAGGGTGTTGTAATTCACCTGGATCGGGACAAACTCAAAGAGAAGTGAGTTAAATAATAAATTGACTAAAAGGATTCACTCACCAATTCCATTCCCATTGACTTCAATTTGGCCTTGCCAAATTCCTGCGAATGCAAGTCATATGATTATGAATGGATTATGACCAATCAAGACTCTTAGTCGTTAGCTAACTCATCCAAGGATCCTACAATGGACCTTTGTCACTATGTCCACGATTGGGAGTATTCCTTTAATTTTCAACATGTACTGCTCTAGCATTGTCTATTCTGGGCCATTGGATGGCTTACATTTCAGCCATGTGTCATCTCATTAAGTTCAAGCTCAGCCTATTAGACCGCTGCCCAAGGCCTTATAATGGGACTTGTCAGCTTCAGAAACTGGTCTCTGTGAATTGTGCTGATTGGGCTTTTTCAGAGACTAATGCTTAGGTCCAAAGTCCAAACTCCTAAATGATAATGGATTTGTTCGGTACAATCAGCATATTTCAATCCATTGAACTTATTAACCCAGTCCCGCGTTAGGGTAAACATATTAGAAGAACTGCGAACATTATAGCATATACGTCATACGTTAATACTTTGAGAAAACAATAAATGGAGTATCAAACAAAATAAATTCTTAAATTATCGCATTTAAATTCACCTTTGGGTAATACTTAAATACATGCTTTAACTAATAATGATGCTAAGAAGAAAATACTTTAATCGACGTTCATTGATGCGGAGCAACTTACAAATCTTTTATGCAAGTCAAATCAAATGACACCCCGTGCTTTACACTACAGCATGCCGTTGCTTCCTCTCTAAGAACTCAAGGCCGCTGATGCTTCAATTTCACGCACGCCCATGCTACGCTCTTCTGGAGCTTAGGAGGGGCGGTGCCAGAGTTGGTGGGGCTGTGGGAGGTATAAGTTAAAAGTGTTGTGTGGGGGGGACGGGGCTGGCGGCGAGAGAGGGGAGGAGGGGGGGATGCGGTTGTTTGTATGTGTAATTTGTCTTGGGAAGGGAGGTGGGGAGATACTGGGGGTACTCATGTGAGAGAGTGAAAGGAAGGGAAGAAGGAGGCGAGAGAAGAGGAGGGAAAGAGAGAGAAGGAGATGGGCTGGGAGGGGAAAGATGAGGGAGGGTTTTGATGAGAGAGGTGGGGGGGGGGGGCGCTTCGGGCGGAGAGAGTGTAGGGCGGTATTAGGGCAAATAACAATCTTAAATTATGCATTTAAATTCACCTTTGGGTAATACTTAAATACATAGCTTTAACTAATAATGATGCTAAGAAGAAAATACTTTAATCGACTTTCATTGATGCGGAGCAACTTACAAATCTTTATGCAAGTCAAAATCAATGACACCCCTGTGCTTCACTACAGCATGCCCGTGCTTCTCTCTAGAACTCAAGGCACGCTCGTGCTTCATTTCAGCACGCCCATGCTACTCTCTGGAGCTTAGGACACGCCCATGCTCATTACAGCACGACCCGTGCTCCTTTCTGGAATCCACAGCACGCCTGTGCTCATTACAGCACACCTCGGAGTCCATAGCACGCTCGTGCTTATTGCAGCATGCCCGTGCTCCTTTCTGGAATTCAGTTACATTTTTACTCCTTAATTATTCAATAATGCTCCATACAATATACATGTTATCTTTTGATATACATTCATATTTACCAAGTACAGTGATGAGTCTCTTTAATGCCATTAATTATAAGTAATGGTCTACCTTTAGGTAACCTTACAACGTTATAATCAATTATCTCAATTGTTCAATTTTATCTTTCATGTTATTTAAGGCATCACACGAATATGAACAATTGAAAGCCGCATAATCAAATGTCTAAACTGATCCAAACAAGGCCACTTTAGTGACTAACAAGTTTTCCATTCATTAAACACTGATTTATGCTAAACTTTATGAGATTGAATTAAGATCTCAAAACATTAATGACATTATACAATAAGATGTCATAACCTTTCGTTTATAAATAAGACAACAAAATAATTTATGAAGCATAAAGAAAACAAATAGTTTTTCAATTTCTATAATTTTGGCTTCGTTTATACCATATTAAAATCAACTTCATAATACGAAATTAATTTCTATTAATTAAACCAAATAGAAAATCTATCAAACAAATCTAGAACAAGAAAGGATCTGATACCACATGTTATATACTTTAATATAGCCTAGATCTTATTGTTCATAGAATTTGCTTAATAAAATTACACAATAAATGGAAGCGTATCTTGATTGAGAATTTGCCTTAATAAAAATACACAATATGGAAGGCGTATTCTTGATCTGATAGCTATTGATATACCCAGTCGTTTGCAACATTCGATTCTCAACCATAACAGGTAAGGGATCTGTATTTCTTCACTCCTGGCCGATACCACATGTTATATACTTTAATATAGCCTAGATCTTATTGTTCATAGAATTTGCTTAATAAAATTACACAATAAATGGAAGCGTATCTTGATCTATAGCTATTGATTACCTCGTTGCAACAATTCGATTCTCACCATAACAGTAAATCTGTATTTCTTCACTCTGGCCTTCTGTTCGTAAGTTTTCTGTTAATGGTCAGAAAATTATCAACAACAACGAGAGTTATCTTTTCACGTTTTCTTAAACAATTTATCACCGCTATATGTTTGCGGTAGCCGTCACTTTCTCTTAACATACACTGTTGATTTCCTTGATCTATTTTATAAGGTAGAGGAAGGATATTAAAATTCTAACTAATCATCATTCCATTAAAATAATCTAACACTTTTTGCTAACGACTGATTCATCTAAAAAAAAATGAGAGAAAGTTGAGAACTTTTCAAAGATGAACAAGCCGAGGTAGGTGAACACCAATAATGAACAAGATTGGTAGAGGTGAATCCATTCAGTGTTAGCATTTATAAGCAAGGATACCTACATATTCAGTTTAGCGATCACATCAGTCTATATTGAACAACAAAGTGACGGATGTTGTAATTGTTTAAAAAAAAATTAATGGTACCGATTGATAAAATCAAAAGACTCTACCATAATTCTTAAAATTATGAAAGTTGGGGCTTCTTTTGTAAAAATATTTAAATTTCTATATAGTGAAAAATTGAGTCAGCGAATGATTAAGTGCTGTGCAATTCACTTGAGCCATGTCAGTAAAAATTTGACGAAAGTAGGATGGAGACTGCAACTGTGAAAAATAAATTCATATAAAGTATTGATGAATACAATTAAAAATGACCAAAATTATAAAAGAGGCTAATTATCGGATTTTTTTTTTCCCCTTCATTTGGCATAAATAAATGTGAAAACAAATATTTATTTGGAAAACTGTGGGTCTAGAAGAATGAGTGAAAGAGGAACAAATTCTAGAAGAATTAGTGAAAGAGGAACAAATTCCCTCCAATGACTGGACAAAACCCAAAGACTCATCTCTCTTCTTTTTTCTGTCTCTGTTTTACGCGCCAAAGAAAAAAAAGGTGAACGATCCTGCCAAAATAATATCCTATCTTTCGATTCCCTTCTTTCTGTATATATATCCTTAAAATCTCTCTCCCATTCCTTTCCATATCAATTTGCCTCTCTATTAATATCTCTCTCTTTCTCCCTCTAAGTTCTGCTTTCGCTCTGCCTCTCTCTCTCTCTCTCTCTCTCTCTCTGTATACCTATCAGTGTACGATCTTTCTCTCTCGCTCTCTGGACGATTAGAAGCAGCGCCGCTCTACAGACTGCAGAGATTGATCGGCCACAACTTCAATCTCAAGGTTAGCCGTTCTTTCTATCTCCCTGTACATTTTTAGGTCTTCTGTTATGATTTTGGTTTCTTTCAATTTTGGTGCTAAGTCTGAAGAGAGAGCTGCGGTTACTGATAATGATGGAGTAACGATTTTTAGATAGTTTTGTTATATTAGAAGATAATTTTTAACCAATTTATTTTATATATTAACGATTAATTAAAGATGATTAAGGTATCAAAGTTAAATAACAACTTGTAACAAAATAACTAATTAAAAAACTTTTTCTCAGTTAAATATAAACTTTTTTTAAAATGTTAATTAGGTTCTGTGTGTTTGTATTAAGGCCATCAATTTTTATGTTTCTTTGTTTATTTTGTATTTATTTTTCAGTGTTTGGTGGAAAAAAATTTTTCCATTAGCAATTACCAGATTTGAACCTATTGCGTGACAGCCTATAGATAGCCTCACTTCACCGCATTACTTATTGTTAATGGAATGACTCAATTCACTAGATTGAATTGCTATTTTTAAAAATTGTTAGGATTTTTACTAATTTATCTTTTTATTTTTAAAAATTGTTAGAACTTTTGCATATTTCGTTTTTCCTCCTTATTACTGTTGGGCTACGTTTGTTTGAGAGGAAGGAAATATGGAAGAAAATGAATTTTGTGTTTCGTTCCTATTATTTAGACTAAGTCATTTAAAAATTTTTTAATATATTAAATAAAGAAAAAGACCAACTCTATATGAGAAGAAAGAATAAAAGTTCATGTTTGGTTTATTCTAAAATTAAACATATGATATAAATATTTAATTTATAAAGAACAAATAATTATTTTAAATTTCTTAATATAATTATCAAGCTATGTGCATTTATTTAAAAAATATATTTAAAACTACACTTTTTCAATTTAAATCTATTTCATTTTCATTGCATATCCAAGTTGCCATAAAGATTTCAAAATACATTATGATTCCTCAAAAGTTGAAGCAGAGATTGAATGGTTAGAAAGAAGCAGTTCGTAATCAAGTCAGTTGGCCAAGAGTTAGCATATCTTTACCACGGGGACCCACAAAAATTTTTGAGTTCCTTCAACCCTTATTGCATGCGTGACAAATTTGTGGCATATTTGCAAATTCCCTGTCTTATACTTCACGGGCCTCTCCTTCTACTCTAGAATCCCATGTTTTTGCTACCTACTCCACTTGGGAGTTAGCATTCAATCCGTTGGGTAAAATCAAACTAACCAATACAATTCAATTTCTTAATATGAAAATCGAATCAAATTAAATAGTGTATAAAATTGAATGGAATCAAATAGGTTCACTTTAATTTTTAATTGTTATTGGATGGATTAATGCCATATTCGGCAGCAGCTTTTTATATATAGTTTGATGTGTTGACTATTTCTTTTATTTATAGTGTTTTGTAGTGTAGTGTTTAGAATTTCACAAAAAAGGTAGTAAAACAGGTAAAAACTACTAGGACAATTAATAATAGCTAAATCATTAAAAATACCTCAAACTTTATAGGTAGTTTTGATTGTACCATAAATTCAACTTTATTGTCCTAATACTTTGAATTTTAATTTTAGTTATAACAACACCCTAATTTCAAATTGTATCCAATTTAATAAATAAAATATTATTTTTATGAAACTCAATTTAACCTTTTCCCCACCATCATTGTTTATAAATAAATAAATATGAAAATAAAAATAATTTCTTCATCTTAAAAATAAATAGTTTTATTTATTTATATAATATTGACAACAAGTAATGATTCTGCAAAAATAAAATGACGTCGTAACGAATAAAATCTATTTTTATAAGAGATTTAATCTAAGTCATGCTTAAAAAAATGACAACAAAAATCTAAACTAATATTTTATGATTATAACTAACTAAAATTTATTATTTTACTTCATTTTTATAAAATTAAATTCCTTGTTGAGGCATTTTAAACAAGAAATATTTAGTTACCCTGACCATAAGAGAGAATTTAGGTCCAATGAAAATAATATTTTATTTATTAAATTGAATATAATTTAAAATTAAGGTTATTATAACTAAAATTAAAGTTACTAAGAGAAGAAAATTTGATTTAGAGTATAATTAAAAATATCCGCAAAGTTTAGAGTATTTTTAATGATTTAGTCACTGATAATTGGTAAAACAACTAATTTTGCGAAATATGGATTTAGACTTTATTCTTTTGTTTCATAAAAATCAAATTGAATTGAAAGACTTCTAATTTTTTCCGATTAAGATTAAAACCGAGGAGAATATATTAAAAATCAAATTGGACTGAACTGAATCCAATCCATTCAATCGACTAGTCCCAACTCCACTAGCTTTAGTGTAGCAGAGAAAAAACAAACAGCAAGCAAATCTTTTCTGCCAATAAAAATCCGTTTTGTTGTCGTCATATCTATTGGCGTATTCATTAATTTGGTCGCAAGTACATGGTTCTTTATCAAACGTTTTCCAATTTTATGAACTAGTGGAGGGAGATAACGATTTCTCTCTATCATTCAAAAATGATAACTTGAGATATCCATTTTTCTCCTTGGGGTTAGATGAAAAATGCATGATATCAAATTCATTAATTTTTTTCCCATCAAAATTTGGGATGTCGGAAACCCAATTAAGATGCACTACCTGAACCTAATTATAAAATTAGGTATTCAAATTCATCTGAAATCCATTTATAAATTCACTTTTAGTACTTGAATTCATCCTGAAACTACTATAGTTACCCGTTTAAATAACTAAATCCATTTACGTCTAGCATAAAAAAATATTTTTTTATTTTTATTTTTCAAAAATAAAGAAGTTAAAATTATAAAATTATTATTTTGACTTAATAAAAAATATAATATAAATTATAATTATAGCATTATTTATAAGTAAAAAGGTGTACATATAATTCTCTTTAAAAAAGTTTTTAAAATATTTTTAAAAGATTAACCATAACCAGTACTAAGTCTTTAAACCTGAATCTGATATGGATAGTAAAAATATTATCTAAATCCGCTCCTAACTCATTTATCTACTATCTGAATTCACCAAAATCAAATCAAATAGGATCAGAGTAGCATTAAGGTCTAGTAAAACTATCATCCCTGCTCAAAATAAATATCACATTTCCTCGAGATTTTTCGGACATGCTGCTAGTAGAGAGTTGAGAAATGTATCCTGGCCCATGTGTTTCCTCCAGCATGGGCTAAATTCTTTTGGCGCCAGCAGTTGGTGAGTTGTTGGATGCAATCCACTTGTCTATTCGACAACCTTTTTTCCTTAGAGCATGGAATTAGATTTTTTGCTGCCTCTGGCTCTGGACAGTCATTGTCAATTCTTTTTTCTCGGGTCCATCATGGGGCCTCGATTTGGTAGTGCATTAACGGGGCGACCACGATTTATTTATATACTTTTTATAAAACAGTTTAATTTATAAAATTATAAATATTTTATACACTTATTTTTACTTTAATTTAATAAATATTTTAATTTATAAAATTATATTTAGCGACCAACGATTTATTTTTTATATACTTTTTATAAAAACGTTTAATTTATAAAATTATAAATATTTTATACCACTTATTTTTACTTTAATTTAATAAATATTTGTAATTTATAAAATTATAATTTATTAAATATTTTAATTATTATTAAATATTTTGATTTATAAAATTAGATCGATTAAATATTTATTAAATATTTTAAAAAATATAAAAATTATTATATTCAAAATGTATATTTAAATATTTAAAAAATATAAAAATTATTATTTCAAAATGTATATTAACCATATATCAAATTAATATTTTGCATATTAAATCCAAAAACTTTAAACATTTATTGTTTCTAAATGTGAGATTATTGCAAAAAGAAAAGTGAGGGTCCCATAAGGTCCATTTAAAGTTCATAGTGCCACAATGTTTTTTTAGTAAACTTCATAGGTTAAATTATATATTCAGCCGTAAATTAATCATAAACGGTTTTACATGGTTTTACATGGAGCGGTCGGCTGGCTTGATTCAAATCAAGTCAAATCAAACATAATTGCATCAGTATTTGTTTGGTTCAATTTTAAATATTATTAAGTAAATTTAAATTCTATTTTTTTTAATTTAATAAGATTCGATTTGAAAATAAAAAAAAATTTTTTGATTTTTCTTTATTAAAATTGATGTAGAATAGATTATTTAAAATACTATCTCTGTTCCATAGTACTTGTCACATTTAAAATTTCATGTTTTTTAAAAAAGTCATTAAATTTATCTTATTTATAATAAATTATTGAGTAAATTGATTCTATTATCTTTAATTTAATACTAATTTTCTATGAAAACCATTAAATTGAAGTAATAATTATTGGTGATATACAAAGGGTAAACATGAAAAAAAATGTTTATTACTTCTTGAAACCACAAATGTAATAAGTATTTTAGAATAAATTATTTTCTCAAATAGAATAATACACTGGTTTTTTCAAATGTGATCAGCACTTCACGTAGAAGAGTGCAGTTTTCAAACAGTTTAATGAAGTAATTTAGTCTCATTTGTAAGTTGATTTGAGAATACTATTGATAGCAAGTATAAAAACAAATATTAATAAGCATTAGAGCATACACCCACATTTTCCTAAAATAATCGATCCATATGGAAATTATTAGTTTAATACTTAAAATTAATATTTTCAGCTAACTATTAGTTTTAAATTATTTGATAATGGTTGTTTACTTATCAATGTAAAGTCTTACCTAAATTTAAATTCATTTAAAATGATAAGTTAAAATTTTTAAATTAAAATATGCACTAATGGTAATAATTAGCTTTAAACAATTCATAATTTAAAAATTTTAGTTATTACAAAATTTAACATTTAAAAATTTAGCTCTTAAATTTTCAAAACTTAATAAAAAAAAATCCGTAAGTTTAGTCTTTTCGGGCTGAGCATAATTTGGATAGAGCCACCCAATCCAGCTTGAGTCGATTTTTATACATGAATTTTATTTTTT